AAAGCAGTGAGCTACTGATGGAGAACCATGTTGGAAGCAATACTCCAGGCTGGGAAACTCCTACCCTGCTGATCGTTGGGATGGTCAGTCCTCTCCTTCCAGCGGGAGCTCAGAACGCTAGAGAGCCATCAGACAGAAGGGCTGTACCCTCGTTTCCCCCTTTTCCAGTGATTTCTAGGTCAGTAAGAAAGAAGTTGTAAATGTTTCCTTTTATGCCTAAATCTCAACACCGCAGTGCTTCACAGGGTCCTGCGCCAGGGTGACTGGAGCCGATGGTATTAGACAAGGGTGGAAAATTGATCTCTTCCCAGCAAGATTTAGAGGCCAGTCGGACAGGAAATTACTCCAGCTGGGCACTCTGTCCCCGTCTCTCAGCTCTTCCTGCAGCTAGGAGATTCACTCTGTAATTGCTTTCTTAGTCCACATTTTATCCTCAGCTGACAGAATTCCATTAGGGTGATACAAGCTGCGTGATAAAGGGATGTTTGTGTCTCACATGGGCTGTAAGTCATTTCTCAGCAAACAAGCAAATAGTCACAGAAATGGGCAAAGAGACCACTACGCCAGGAACCCTCCTTCTTGTGCTCTCAATAGCAGGACCTCAACTGGAAGCAAACATTCTGCCACGGTGTTACACTCCTCGCTGCTCTGTAGAGGAGACACGTCAGCACATGACTCCAGAATGAACATTTATCACTGCGGCATTTCTGAGCAGACAATAATCAAGCAGGCAGACGGGCAGTCCGGCAGCCCTAGAAATGAGGGCCCCGTGCAAAGAGGAGCCACTGTGTGGTGATCATAGGGGTTGGTGACACCACAGATCACAGACAGCAAGCGGCCTACGTGTGGGACAGTAGATTAAATGAAACAAATGTTGCAATACACCCGAGCACACACTCTGAAGAGGAAAACAGGTTGGTCACACCTGCAAGACAAGGAACAAGGATTCTGAACGGGACCTTCAGGCCTGTTTTGGAAGACAAAAGGAGTGACCTTCTAGGCATAGTGACGCAGCTAAAAGATAGACATGATGAAAAAAGCTAAAAGGGAACATACGAAGGTGCATCAAATCCTGTAGTGTGCATAGTTACAGTATCTACAGTACTGGCGAAGCCATTACTAGGCAGTGCGTTCCAGAGTTCACATTTCTGAAGAATATTGGAAGAGACGTGGCTACTTCAATGACTCGTCCCAGAAGAGCCGCTCCTGTTAGAGCTCAGCCTCCTGGATCAGCTGCCCCAGAGCACAGAGGCGAACCCAAGGCACCCCTACACACCGTGTCTGCTCACACAGGTGCTGGTTTGGGCTCTAATCACTTGCTATATTCCCCACGCCAGTGCAGAGGCGCACCCGACAGTGAGGACTGCTGAAGCAGCATACAGGAGAGAATGGGAAATGACATCATCACTGGCAGCGAGTCCCATCTCTGGTTGTTCCAGTCTGTTACCTGGTTACTCTGTCCAATCTCGCAACACCCACTCACTCCTTGGCACCGCCAGGCTCCTGCAGATGTTACCAGTCTGACATACGTCCCTGAAATGACAGGACTGAACTATGGGGAACAACCAACGCACCAGGACATGGAAAAAGCCCAGCAGGACCAGGAAATCTTACGGAAAGCAGCATCACCTAAGCAGGATGCTGTGGTGCAATTTTATGTCCAGGTCCAGCCTAAGCCACGAGAAGGACTCAGTTTGATTTAGCTGCCGTATGTAGCTCCTCATGTAGCTCATAGGGGTTCGTCCTCCAAAATGAGGAGTCGCCTCCCGACTCAGTAACACACAAGCTTCCATGTCTTCTCTGCTGTCTTCTATACTGTCCGCATCACTGCTTGCTCCCTTGTCCGCAGGACAGTGCTTCTCACTGCTCTTTAAATTCTACGGGCTTAAACCACAAAGACACAGAAATTGAAAGCAGAAGTCGCAGGCCTTCCCAGGCATCCTGGTTTTCAGATTACACTGTGAAGACTGATAAAAGTATCTTTTTAAAGATCAAAAAGTAGACAGCATGACAGGTACTTCCTCACGGATTATTTCTTTATCCTCTGCCCTTCTCAGTGTCATTGTGGGACAAACTCATTTCTGCTTTCTTGATCCAACCCCTTTAAAGCAAGTCACGACAGGTAAAGGTGAGCAACTATGACATAAAGGTTCTTCAGCGGCACAGAAATTGAAACTGGGCGAAAGTTTAATAATTTACATCAAAGGCTTCAGCAAGAATTCACATTAATCCTTCCTTTTCCTTTCTCATGCTTTTGGCAATGTCAAGTGATGTTACTGCGCACATTCTTGCTGTACTATCCGTGCTGAAACTGTGCCTGACTGACTGAAGTGCTCCGTGGGGATTTTCTTGATTGTGTGTTTACTCTTCCTCTTTTCCCTCCTGTAAATGCTAGTCTGACATGAATGTACTTCTGACTAGTTAGTTAAAAAAAGGTGAAAAATGGAATAAAACTTTTTTTTTTAACCCTGATTCACTATGGAAATGAGTTGAGCATCTATGTTTGAGCGTATAGGCCTGACCAGGACACTTAACTATCTTTGGTCATATAAAGGGCCATTACATCTCAGCAAACACTGACAACTACACCACAGAGATTAATGAAGTATTTTCTAAACATGATGCTACTTTCTATATGTGACTGAGTAGAATCAAGGCCTTGCCTTGGCGGCGTTGCCATCCCAGAGCAGGCAGCAGGCTGGCAAACCCTTCTTTCAGACAGAGCCACTGCAGGGGAGCACGTTCCACAACTTAACAAGTTTTTGGAAGTATTTTAAAGACTTTCAAGGTCTTTCCACTGTGTGGCAACTGTGGGGAATCTCTTGAATGCATACAAGGAGCTGCTAGGAGAGGTGGGCAGAAGGCACAAGCCAATACTCTGTGCCACACTGGCTGCAGGTTTCCAGAGGCAAAAGGTGTGAAAACTGACTGCAGTTACCAACTGACCAATGAGGAATTGCTGGTGGAAGAGAAACAAACCATAGAGAGAAGTGTGACCCATCTGAGCTTCGCCGAGTATTTTGCAATAATTTACAAAAACCTGGAGTTACCTCAAAGGATTTGGACTGAAAAATCATTAGTCCATTGCACAGGACTTGAGCTGCTCCAGACAGATACAGGGAAGACAGATGAGCATAGAAAGTCCTCTCCCACTCATACCTTTTCTGATCAATAAGAAGGATGCTATTCTCTGCCAGGAAACATGATGGGTTTCATTTCTCTTCACATTCAATGCAATTTTCTCAGAAGAACAAACAATGCAACAGGCCTCATCTCACCGAGAGACCGTCTACACGGCAAATCTGTGATGGTGCCTTAAGTCTTAAAAACCTTGCTATAGCCCCTCCCCTTCCAAACGCGTACATTTACATGTGTTCTTAGCCCTACCAATAACGCTCATTTCAGCTCCTCCTCTTCTTCGTTTTGGAGTTGCATGTAATGGTTATCTGATTTGGAGCAAAAATTAAAACTTGGTTCTTGGCAGAGCTACACCGGTAAACACACAGGGGAGACAGTTCTCAGAACAACAGAGGGTTCTTCTGTCAGTGCAGTTTGGGAAGAGCCTTTAAAGAAAGTACAATATACTCACATACACTATTTTACATTTAGAAGTGTTTTGTATTTAGTACAAAATACATTTTGTTGCCCCATCAATACACAGAAATCTGGGAAATGCACTGCTGTCTTGGGTCTTTTCAGCTTAGCCAACAACAGTTACTAAGTGTGGGTTTTATAAGCACATAAGCAAGATACTGCACTCCTCATTCATACAGAAAGAGAAGCAGCACATTTTTATCAGATATCAGGAGCTCCAATAGTATACCTCTTTCATGTCTAAAAGCATATCCTGACTTCAGAGTGTTCGCTTCTCTCATGAAACAGAGAGAGTTCTAAATGAGAAAGGAAGAATCTTCTATGGAAGAGATTTAAAGGTTGTCACAACCAACAAATTTTCAGTAAAAAGTACATTTGCATAGCTACAAACCCTGCAGCATAATTATTTAGTTAGATTTTTTGTTTAAATGACTACATATGCAGTGTATTTTGTGTGTAAAAATGCAGTTCACTCCTTACCTTCTGCTAGTTAAAATGCATTTACCGTTTCTCAAAAGTGATATGTTGCTGGCAACAGATCTGGTTGGTGCAGCACAGAAGTACGGCCTCCTTGTTCCTATAACCAAATTCAGGCAAAATAGGAGAAAAGAACATTGCTTTGTAGCGGGTGGACTCTGAAGAATAGGTAGCGCACCAGTCAATGGCGCTTCAGGCAAAACACTTATTTTGCCTTTTTCATGGTAGTGAAATAATGAAAAATATAATTATTTCACTGCAAAAGATGAAAGAAGTGGCAGCTGAAACTTACTCATTAAACCTTGACAAATCCACTTTCTGATCTCCACTTTCTAAAAGCATTCATCCCACTTCTCCCTACCCAGTGGAACCTCTCCAGATGCCAGAAAGAGCATCAGTCCCCAGAGAGAGCCATGGCATCAAAACATACAGCAACAGCCCAGAAACAGAGAGGTAAAGAATACTTCTTCTAATAAGTGCATTTACCAAAGAACTATTTACAGGCACCAGAAAAAAAGCGAACACTTCCTTCTAGTGAGGAGTTTCATGATCAGCCAGCTAGGATTTAGGAATTAAAGCTTAAGAAATACTCTGAAAGACCTCCTGTTATAACCATCCTGCTTCACTCAAGTTCTTGGTACTTGGCAGGAACAGTTGTCAGTTAGCAACAAGGTTCTCACTCCTTTATGTTCCTTCCTCCCTGGATTTTCAATTAAGGGGGGTGGGGTGGGAAATCAGACAGATAATGACAATTAAAAAACCCAGAAAACTGAATTCAGGCTTTCAATTCCATTACTGAAGAAAGTTTCCTG